GGCCCACGGGCCCCTGCATGGCCGGCCCGGCCCCGCCCCGGGCTGCGCGCCAGCAGCGGTAGCCAGGCTGGGCCAGGCCGGGCACGTGCGTCCTGCTGCCGCCAACTCCATGCACCCTCCCCCACGCGCTGGGTGGGGACGGGGCTGCGCATGCGTCCTTCCCCAACCCGGGGCACAATTAAACTGTCTGCCCGGGACGCCGGAATGGCTCAGTCCGGCCCTGCATGTGATCACCACATTTCAATCATCGCCAGGGATCCAGCAACAGTAGAAGGGAGAGTTGGGCTGAGATTCATGTGGATACGGAAAAATTATTTTTAAAAGCTCAAGGAAATTACATGCCCAGAAGTGAAGGTTCCTGGGTGGAGTGACCCTTTCAGAATGCTGTGTTCAGCTGCACCCAGACCCCTGAAAACCAGGAACGACAGAGTTAAGGTACATACTCCCCTCCCTGGCAACGCAACCTTCATGCTGCCCTTTTTGAGCAACATATCAACAACACATACAAGTGCTCTACAGATGCTTTACAATATTCTGGGATCAGAGCACAGGTGCTCAGGTTAGGCCTACACACAAACTCTGAGCCAACTTCATACAAACCACCTCAGACTTGCCAAATGTTACCTCCCTTTCACCGTGGCCTAAGGATCCCTTCTGAGACATTGCCTTCACTAGCCCCTCACAAGGCCCCAAAGACCCATGCCATGTGTGCCACCACAACTGACAACCCATATAGCAAGATCACCCCATAGACAGGAGTCAGCACTTAAATGAGGCACGTATGAGCCTCTGAGAGACTCATACACCTCCCATAATACCACGGGCTGCGTCTACCCTACAGCTCATGTTGGCCTAACATGTCACTCAGGGGAGTCAATTAATTCACCCGAGTGAAAAAATGTACACCAACATAAGCGCCAACGTGAACAGCGCTATGTCAATGGGAGACGCTCCCCTAACGACATAGCTACTGCTGCTTGCAGGAGCTGAAGGAAGAACATTTTCCCATCCGCTTAGTGTAGTTATATTAGAGAGCTTACAGCTGCACCACTGTAAACTCTCCAATGTAGCCGAGCCTACAGTAACAAATATGTCAACTTGTGCCAGTGTAAGACCTTCACCATTCAATACAACTATGCCTAACACAGTGAACACAGCTGACATGAATGCAGATAAATGCAGGAATTCAAATCTGTGGAACACAACACAAGTAATGGTACAGCCTCTTGGAATTTCCTGGTGGCTTCTTACAATGGCATCTCATTTACTGAACCATTACTTGTGCTATTACTAGCTCCAGAGGGGCAGAGTTAAGGTTGCCTTCAAGGAGTGGCTCGCATCTTCCCTTTTCATTTCCTTGTTTTCAGAGGCTGGCATTTTGTCAAACACGATGTTCTGGAAGGCTGTGAGGCACCCTCAAACAACTCTGCATTAATGCAGTTTTGAGGCATTTCATCTATAATACATGAAAAGGCGCCTTTTCATGTAGGCATATTTGCTATAAACTGACAATACAGTTGGTCAGATTAAACTGGCAGCTTGCTCTTCACCTCAAAACCAAACCTACAATCAAACCCAAGCAAAATCAGTCCTTATCTTCAAAACCCTGGACACAGAGTTAAGCTGTGGTCAAGGTCAGCAGATTTGTGCTGTTTTGGACCAGGAATGGAGGAATTTGTGAGGCCCAGGCTTCTCACAGAGAACACCATGATGACAGCTCCCTACTTCCCTCTCCCGACTCCAACCCCACCAGTCTCCAGCTCAAGCATCTACGTTGATAGCATCAGTGGCAATATGTCACTCTCCCCATGGAAGGCAGGCCCAACTATTCAGGGTTCCATAGTTCAATACCAACAACTGAACCACCTAGAAAACAATAAACAACCAATATAGAGAGTGATGATGATGATGATGATGTTAGGGTTTCACTCACTCGTAGTGTGTCTTTGCCAGCGATGCCTAGAAGCTGCCCAGTACCGTACTGGAGAGCAAAGGCCTGCCCTCCGTGCTGATAGGAGGCTGATAGAAATGATTTGAATTTTTGATGCATATCTGTGGAGATAAATCTCAGCATTAACACTGGAGATGAGGTCATCAGAAGTGTAAATTTCTGAAACACAGGCCTAGCTAATAGGCAAACAAAACACATTGTCTAGAGAGACAGAATAATATGTGAAGGGAAGCAGGCAAGAGTCCCTGCGTCCTGTAAGTTTTCCCCGTGTTCTGAAAATATCTCAGCAATTGATTGATTTTCCTTTCTGCATCACAATAAACATCATGACCCACTTTTAAACGTTACAAAAATCCAGCTTTTCCCGATTTTTTTTAACTTTCTTGTGTTTCTTTTGCCTCGATTTTTCACAAGATTCGACTGTCCATTAACAGCTGTTGCAGCAGTAGGTGCATACCATGGCTATGATGAGGCACGGGACAACTAGAATTTAAAATAGTAACTCAATGACAGCGTCAGTGAGGGTCTTCAAACCTCTCCTCCCCTGCCATCTTCCTGACATACATAGAGGGAAGAATCTCTCCTTCTCTCTTTTCTCTTGTTTCTTTAGAGGGTGTACAGCAAAGTCTGTCTACTCCTTCCACCACTCTGCCAAATATTCCTCCAGCCCAGTGAACTCTGAGACATCTTTCAACTCCAGAGTCAAAAGAACCGTGTAGCAGCAGCTGCAGTGGAGAAGGAGCCTTTCCACTTCTACAGCTGCATAACAGAGAGAGGACGCCCACCCTAAGATCTGGATATCGTGCCCACGGTTACTGAGAACACTTTGTCCCAATACAGATATAAATAAGAGCATGCTCGCAGTACCTCCTCCCCACCCATTGTAGTAGCAGGATGAAGGCATGAGCTGGTTGCCATCTCAAGATGTCAGGAAGGGGAAAAAAATGAGAGATTAAAAATCCTCTCCCAGAAGATTGCACCAGCTCAGAGAATACCCAGACAATGAGATGGAGGCAACCAGACATTCCATCCAGACTGAGATCCATATCTGAGGTTCTGACAGTTATCCAGATGCTTGTGCCCTTAGATACAGATGCTTCTCAAACATTAATCTATTCATTTCTCATCTATAGCTTTTAGATTCTACCCTGAAATGTTCTCTCTGTTTTCTCTTACCTCAGATGTCTCTGGCAGCACACTGAATGCTGTTTCTAAGGCTTATCCACCACAACATAGGTTGTGTGGGGTATAACGGACATATTAGTGTAGCTGAGGCAGATACACAACACAGACATTCTTTGTATTGACTCCTTTTTCTTGCGCACTTCACCTGTATAATGGAAATGGACTAATCCTTACACCTCCCCCTTTGTGTCTCTCATCTTTGTTGTACCTAACTAGCAGTGACAAATTCTAGAGCATGCAAAACTGGAATTAGCCTGTATATTATGGGAGAGTATCAACTCCCTCCACTGTTGCACAACAAGAATAAAACTGCAAGTGAGTCTCTGAGTATAACTGTTGTAACCTTGGGTTGTGAAGTGCATTTATAGCAGGGGCACTGCGTTAAAAGGTGAATTCAACCACTAGAAGCTCAAAGAAACAAAACTTCTCTTACGGCAGGCTTCGCTGATGCAATAAGCTGAAGGGACCCAAAAATTGGATGATCCTGTGTCGAACACCACTGTGAATTTCTGAGGTGGGGTGCCAACACTCACCACCCCATAGTATTGGGCCTGGGGAAATAAAATACAGCCAGTTAGTTCAGTGCTACATCAATGCAGACTATTCTTAAAGAAAAGATAGACAAAGATCTAATGTAAAATATCCTAAGGGTTTCCAATCTAATTTGATTTGACTGTTAATTAAATGCTACCTATACCAAGCAATAAATTCTTTCTGGTGCCATGAGTGACCACTTAAGACAGATTTCGGAATGCAGCATAGCTTTTAAGTACTTCAAGAGCAAGAAGTCAATCCTGGAGTTTTTCCATTGACTTAAATGGAAGCAAAATCAAGCTCCAAACTCTTAGGAACAATAGGCAAAGTCCTGTAGTAATTCCAGGAAAATTCCTATTGAAGGTCACAGGAAGGTCTAGGAGCTTTATCCTAGAAAAAACAAATAGTCCTGTGGCACCTTAGAAACTAACAAATATGTAGGATCATGAGCTTTCGCAGGTAAAAGCTCGTGATCCTAATATATTTGTTAGTCTCGGTGTCACAGGACTACTTGTCATTTTTAAAGCTACAGACTGACTTGGCTACCCCATGAGACACTCATCCTAGACACTAATGCATGATATAGTCCTATGAATTTAGAAAATAATTAAACTGGCAACGTAACTATCACCTTGCTGGGGAGCACAGCTGTATATTTTTGTTTGAACTTAGGGGCACACAGTTGTATATTTTGCTTTATTATTATTCTAGTCAGTAGTAATAAGTCAATTAAAACAAGCCTGATTAAATTCAGTCTCTGGTTAAGACTCCACCTGATGTGCCACACAAAACATATCAGATGGATATAGAAAATGCAGAAGGCTCTTTTGTACAAAAGGCATATGGAGATCGTCTGTGAACATGTGAACTCCAAAGTAGCTTATCAGCTTTTAGACGCCACGTGCTTAGTGCCCATATCAGCCTATGGAATAGCACTGCAGCATAAGGAGACTTATTTTTAGGCACAGACATTTCTGGCATCCGATAAAGACAGAAAAGCTCATCCGGTGCCAAAAGATTCTGTATTGAGGCAAATATTTGACCATTTACTAAGACTATATTAATTTACATGAATGGGCTCAGCATGGTCTTTGCCCCCCAAGAACTTACATTCTAAATTAGACAAGTCAGTGAAAACAACAGCATGAGTTATGTGTAACAGGAGAACGCCCAAATGAGCATGTACCACAACTAATCGCTGTACGTATGTATGTATTACTGTAACCCTTTTCCTCCCCCACTACAATCTATCACCTTATTGCATCATCGGTAAAATTAGATTGTAAGCTCTTCAGAGCAGGACCTTCTCGTCATATCATTTTCTATATGGCCCCTAGTGCATGAGTTAATAATAATAGATAAATAATGAATACATTATTTATTATTAATAATAATAATAATAATAATAATAATTGGTTAAATGGAAAAAACATGCAACATTTTGAGATTAAATTCGCTAGTGTGTTATTTGGATGAAGTACGCTATTGCCTGTGAGTTTACAACTGAAATTCCTTTTGCAGTATAATCCAGAACTTCAGCTGCAATGACAAGCAGTCAGTCAGAGCTAAGCAAGCCCTTCCAACCACTTCACTCAATGAGGGGATTAATATTTAAAAATGTTTTCTGTAGTAAAGTTAAGATTCACAGCAGTCATCCCCTACGCGTCTGTTCTTTTAACTTCACCGTGAGGATCACCATTTCCAATTAGCTTTTCCCTCCTCATAGTAGGTGGAAGTGGGGGCCCTACTTTTCTACCGCAGAGTATTATTTATTTATTATATGCTACAAAACTAAAAGGGTGACCACCCCAGGGCTGCCTTTGGTATTAGATGCAGCCATATCAATATGCAAAGCTGGAGAGGCCCAGGGATGTTAATTCATAAGCAAGGAAGCTTTGTTTAAATTAAGTAGGCCCTCTGCTTACAAATGCAATAGCAAGGATATAAATCATTCTACTAGCAGCTGGTTTTCTAATATTCATATCTTCGCAAAATGCTCAATAGTTAAAGACCTAGGAGCAAATCAGAAATGCTGTAGTTTAGGGGCTTTTACTTTCAGTGGTGGGTGTAAGAGTGTGTGGAATATGTAAAATTCATTTTAGGGCAGTGGCCTCTACAGAGCCAGTGCTAGGCATAAGCAAACTAAGCAATTGCTTAGGGACCCAGTTCAACAGAGCCCCCTATTCAATTCTTATTATCTGAGGAGGGGCAAAAATATTCTTGCTTGAGACACCCAATGGGCAAGCACCACCTCTGGGCCTGTTCACTGGAAGAGAGCTGGATTTTCGATACAGTCTGTGCTTATAGTCAAATTGCCTGAGAGGAGTTGGGAATGATCAACTCATGCATTTGCCACTTTGGGAAAAACTAAATCATTGATCATTTACATTTTTAAAACAGTAAGAAGTAAGAAAAAGATTGAGCAATTCACGGGGTGACCTCAGCTCTGTGCATCCCCCTTAAACCCAGGCAGGGCTTTCCTCAAGGCCACCCCCACTTCTACCTCCCCTCAGGCCAGGCCAGGCCCCTCCTCATGGGCACACCTTTTGCTTCAAGGGCTGCAAAGCACTCTTGCTATCTCTCCCCAGGGCAGGGCTCACCCAAGGGCCCTCTAGTCACTACCTACATTTCCCTCTGACTAGAGTGTGTGTGTTCTTGATTGGTTCTAAGTAGAGCGGGTCAAAACACCAGTCAAAGGTTTCACAGACATTTTCAACTTTTGTGATTGGGTTTTTTGGCCAATTCAACTACTAGTTAAAAAAAAAAGTAGTCTCAACAAACAATTTCAGGGTGTTTCTGTCCAAATTCAAACAGCCAACAAAAAGGTTTTCAGAAATTCTGACTTTTGAAGAATTCTGGCTAGCTCTAGTTCAAAAAGGAGTGGTTTTTAACTCTTCATGTTCTTCTTCCATGCTCACCTCTGAGCCTTTTTCCTTCTGGCTCCCTATGTTACAAGTCTCCCCCTCCCCCCCCCGACCCAAACTGCCATGCTTCCACCTTCTTACATACAAACAATCTCCTCCAAGGAACCCATATAAGCTTGTCCTCTCCTTTGATAAATGTTCAAAAAAAATCAATTAGAAACCCAAACAAAACTCTAAAAGAAACCTGCTGTTCACAAGCTCAAATCAAGGGTGGGCTATAATATCCCACCCAACCCCTGGCCTTCATCTCTGAGATCTGCCTAGATAGATAATTCTTCAGGGCTCAGGCAGGTTTGATATTTATATCTGTGAAGCGCCTCTTGTTCTTTAGGCACAATAAATAATCATTGCAAAAACTCTATTCTTGTTACCTACGTGTCTTTATGAACGCAGATTTTTACAGGAATTTATTTGTGACCTAACATGTTCAAACAAGATGAGATTTTGGTTCATTTTGTGACATGTCAACAAACAGATTTCTGATCTATGTTACTGAGCCTCCCACATGGATGTGAGCCCCAGTGAAGTCAGTAGTGGTTCAGGTGACTGTTTGCAGGGCCATGCTAAAGGGAAATTTGAGATCAGTTCCATGTTTATCCTAATTTTACTTACGTTATTTGCTCAGTCTTTCACAAACTAAGAAGCTCATCTATAAGGATTCACAAAATCTAGTTTAAATAGATACACAATCTCAAACTTTATACAAGAGAATAGAACTAATGTGCTGAACAAAATCTGCCTTCAGTATAATAAATAACCCTTTTTATTGCATTACACACATGAACATACTCACATTCATGTAATCATAGAGCCTTTCTGAAGCAGATCCAGCTGGTAGAAAAACATCTGAAGGGAAGCAATGCAGATATCTTCGAGCAAAAATGTCAGGCTCATGATTTTTCAAAAATTCCTTCAGTTCTCCCTTTTCTCGAAGTTGCTTCTTGATGGACTTAAATTGAAATAACTGGATCCTAAGCAAGCAAAATAAATACAAGCCATTGCAGTTGGACTTTCTTTCTATGTCACTCAAATGCTGGTTTTTTAAAACAGCTTTTGCAATAACACACAGAGATCATGCCAGGAAATCAGCTGAGAACAAAATGCACTATAAGGACCATTTTATGATACCTGAAATGCCTTCTTACCTTTGCATAGCTAAGGCGAATGGCATATAAACCAGAGCCACTAACAGCAACCTCATGGTTTCAAGTGGTTGGGAATCTATACGACATTCATAATACTTCGCACTGTCTTTTATACTTCATTAGCCAACAAAGGGCTGTTAGCCAGGTCAATCAATTCCAGGAGGTCAGTGGTTTGGCAGAGCCTTTATTAATGAATTCTAGGACAGACTATTGCTTTGTGTAAATATTGACATCCACTGAAGATATTAAAGCGCATTCAGCATGGGCATAGTCTATATGAAAAGATACACGTTAACATATATATATCTATGTTTAGGCAAAGTTCTGCTCATGTTGTAGGAGTGAGAGGAAGAAAGCAAAACACAAAGCAACATGAGTACATGTCTGGATACCTTTGTATACAAAGATGCTGGAAAATCAGCATAAGAGACAGGTATTTCTAATAGTGATAGAAATGTAGCCGTGTTAGTCTGGTGTAGCTGAAACAAAATACAGGACTATGTAGCACTTTAAAGACTAACAAGATGGTTTATTAGATGATGAGCTTTCGTGGCCAGACCCACTTCCTCAGATCAAATAGTGGAAGAAAATAATCACAACCATATATACCAAAGGATACAATTAAAAAAATGAACACATATGAAAAGGACAAATCAAATTTCAGAACAGAAGGGGGCATTCAACCAGAAAGGACCTTGTCTCAACGACTTAATTACCTGCATCCTGCTTCAAAAGCCTTTTAAAACTGCACTTGAAAGAGAATCCTCTGAACTGTTATTCATGTTAAAATTCGACACTTTACGCCGGGGTCTTAACAAAGACTCTAGTTGTCTTACCCATTACAAAGATAGCTTCCCCAATTATCACCTCTAATATCATTAGCTCACAGACATTTACCTTTCCCCCCTCCCCCTTCTGTTCTGAAATTTGATTTGTGCTTTTCACATGTGTTCATTTTTTAAATTGTATCCTTTGGTAAATATGGTTGTGACTATTTTCTTCCACTATTTGATCTGAGGAAGTGGGTCTGGCCCACGAAAGCTCATCATCTAATAAACCATCCTGTTAGTTTTTAAAGTGCTACATAGTTCTGCATTTTGTTTCAGGTATTTCTAAATGACTAAGACAGCTAAGTAGGATTTAGTTTAGCTTAGTTTTTATATGGAGCTTGCTACAGGAGGATAACACAAGGGGGTCCAAATGTGTTGTGAACAACTGAAGATAAATGCTCCATCTAAAACTAAGCTATGTGTATTCTTTATGTGAGAGCTAAAGATACCAGCAGATTCCCTCCTGATCATGATCAGAAATGATGTTTCAATTACTTGCAACTTGTTTTATTTTGAATTTTTTCCTCCACAAGGAAAAAAAGTATGTCTGAGCATAGGATAGTGCATACCTTAGGGTGAACTTTACCAAGGGTAACTTTCAAATATCAGTCATTTTTTCTGTACGTTTGTTCAAAAGTATATGGTTAGAAGGCGGCAAAAATGTATTTTTCCACACTTTCCTAAACTCAAAGCAAGCTAAATAACAGGTTGAAATCAGCATGAAAATGAATTTATACTAAATAAATAATCCACCTTTGAACAGGCATAAGAGATTAAATAACAAAGAATTGGTGTTTAGGAACATGGTATAGCAGTAGATTATCATATTTGGCAATCTTAATATTTTGTTTAAAAATTAAAAAATTATAGCAGGCATGTGGTGGAAAATGGCCAATATATCGGCTACTCATTTATCAAAAATATTTGGTACCCTATTTAAAACAAATGGTCATCTGTATTGTCAACCCAAATATTCACAGTCATGGGTAAGACACACTCAAAGTCATGAGATTGGCTTAAAAAACACAAGATCCTTAAAATAATACATTTGGAGTTCTCTTTACTTAACTTCTGACCTTTGATCCTTTATGGCTTATGGTTTTTCAGCCAAAAAGGTTACAAACTTACCTTTAAAAAAAAAAAAGGAAAGGTCTGGTGAAAATAAATGTGGTGTGTTTGCTTCTCTCCAGGGTCTACAGCTTTATGAAAATGACAAATTTTAAAATTCTCATAATAGAATTGCAGGAGTTGGCAACATTGTGGTAAATTTAAAGTGCAATTTTCTACTTACAGAAGCATTTGAGAAGCTTACTAGACTTTTTGTAGTTTGTAGCATTTTAAAAAATGTTTATGACATCTTTGGTTGCTTGTATGTATAAAAGAAATTAATGTTCTCTCTAGACTTAGCTCATTAGTGCCAAGGTGCAATAAGCTACTACACATTAAACTTCTTTAGTCTGGGACCCTTGGGGCCTGACTAGTTCTGAACAAGAGAATTTTCTGAACCACGAGAGGTCTATCAGCATTACCAACACTGCCACTGCTTACTGGGCTGTTAGAGGACATTGAAGGGTAAAGGCACAAAACACTGAGAACCAGGACTGGTGGCTGTAAACAAACTTTATGGGACTGCGGGAAACTTGGCCACATCCATGAAAAGTGGACATCTGGCTAACTAAAATCACATGATGTTTCTGGACGAGAGAGTTCTGGATTAGAGAGGTTCAGCCTGCACTAGCTAGTAGCTGCTGCCCGGCAATCTCACTCACCAGGTACCGTTGTGAACTCTAAGGCCTTAAATCTCCTTTTGGATAGAGATGTAACTGATTAACCAGTAAGCCTCACCCATGAGCTGGGGGTTCATTAGCCCAGCTGGGCCTCCCGTTCTGTGGGTGGGAGGCACTCCAGACTGGCTGGGCTGAAGCAGCTCCCTCCCCCCCTCGGTATGGCATGGTGTGCCTGGCCCAGCCGAAGCAGCCTCCCACCCCAGCACAGTGAGGCAAGGCCAGCTTCAGAAGCCCAAGCCCATGGCACACTCTGCCTGGCCCAGCTAGAGCAGCTCACAGACCAGCAGGGTCGGCCAGCCGGCCTTGAGCAGCTCCCCCGCCCATGCTGTCCAGCCTGGCTGGAGCAACCCCCTTCCCCAGTGCAGTGGGCCTGTCCTGAGCAGCCCCTGCCTATAGCAGGCTCAGCCCAGCCTAGCTGGGACAACCTGGGGCACAGGTGAGAGGCTGCTTCAGACCAGGCAGGCCTGCCACGCCATGCCATGGGCCAGGCTGAAGTGGCTCCCTGCCCGCAGGATCCCAGTTAAGCAGTAAACCAATTAAACATAACATTTAACCATGCTTAACGGATTAAATGAGATTTTACACTTCTCTGAGTTCAGGATGGTTCCTTTAGCCATTGAGTAGTCTCCTGGATTATAGCATGGGCTAGTGAATTTAGCACCCACTCTTCCTCCCGTTCTATGAAATGCAGTAATTCATGGAATTCTCACTTCCGATATGATGATGAGAGGAATACTTCTTTCTTCAAATGTATGCAACACAGAGTGATTCAGAAGCAAATACAAATCTGATTCTATTCTTGAGGGAATAAACAGCATATACTATCAGAACCTCATATCTACTCAGACATACATTGATGGGAGATAGATGATAGATAAGGAAGATGTACACATCTGAATTGCAGTATATGTCCTCTGCAATGCACCCCTGCAGATACCTCATTTCAAAGTACATCACTCATTTTAGTCCCAAAGTTGCTTACATTCCACATAAATGTAGTATAACACTGGCAAGCAAAATCGTACCTGGGACCTCTGGAGCTGAGAACATGAGTCTCCACCACATGAGCTAAAAGCCAGCTAGCTGTTAGCTAATGTTGCAAAGCAGATTCATTCTCTCTGTAAGGGTTCTCAGTGCCATTCGATGGGACGGTACAGCACACCCAGAAAGTGTTTGGGTTACAGTAGCATTCCCTCACTTTTATTACTAACCATTATTACATCAGAAATAAACAATTATGAAGTTCACATTATAATAAGAGTGATGGAATGAATCCCACTGCATTTGTATTTTATGGCATTAATATTTTTGCACTCTGCCATTGGGTCTTCGGCATACATTACATTCCACATCTGAGCCTTGGCCAGTATGGACAGGTGTACCTCAGTGCTAGGAGTCATGAAACCATTTAGAAAGCGATGGCTAGCTGAGCTGCATTCACACCCTCTCACAGTTCCAAACACTTCATGAAAGGCTATGTAAAGGAAAGGTAGCCACTTCCAGCTATTCACCATTTTAACAGAGGACTTCATAGACATCAGAAAGGAGAATGGGCTGTTGAATATAACCAAAGAAAATTGAATGTGATTCTGCATGGGCAATACATTCACAGTAGTTATGATCTAGGTGAGCAGTCTTCCTTTTGCCCTCAAAAATCACCTCTGCAGTTACCAAACTTGGAAGCCGGACTAGCAGTAATAACTGCTCTGGAAGAAAGCGAGGAGAACTTAAAGTGTGGTTCCGTTCTGAAAAATTATTATGTAAAAATGGTACTGTCTTAATGCAGATCTGTTCTCAAGATGAAATCCTAGGCCTCATACTATAAAATTATTTATTATTTATATTACCAAGCACGTATAAGCCCTACTCATGCACTGGAATCCACTGGTTCTAGGCATTGAACAAACACAAAGCAAAAAAGATTGTCCCTTCCCCAAAAAGACAATGGGAGTTTTACCATTGACTTCCATAGGACAAAATGTGACTCTAGGTTTGGTATCCATCATATCTGCTAACATCAGCATCTACATTTTTTCTGCTTCTTTGTGCTTTTAATACTATGGAGCCAATACAGCCAGTAGGGAATGCAATGAATTCTACTTCTTGCTCAGAACCAATAAAACTGTCCTCTAAGCCAGTGTTTCTCAACCAGTGATATGAGTACCCTTAGGGATACTCTAGAGAAGTCTGGGGGGTACGTCAACACAACTGAAATTTGGAGAAAACTGAATTTTTGTTTTAAGTTTTACAGCGCTTTATTTTTTGTACTTTTTACACCCAAAAATGTCATCACCTGCCCAGCTACAATTAAGTTGTTTAAACAAATGTGATGCAATGGTAGAAAAAATTTTTGTGTGTCTGAAAACTGTAGGTACTGGGGGTACTTATAATTTTTGTAAAGAGGTAATTTATAAAAAAAAGATTGAGAAACACTGCTCTAAGCT